TGTTTATACTAGAAAGAAGCTGGAAGGGTTGGAGCTGTAGACTGGATGATGAATTACAGGGAATGAGGGGCGGAGAAGGGCGGGTTGAGGGGGGCGGAGAAGGGCGGGTTCATCTTGCTAAAAGGTATCCCTCTGGAATCTTGGTGTTAAGGAGACTTACGTATTCAGCATTACAGCTACCAGAATGCGATGCCAAAAATTGCTTGCACACCACCTGTGCTCTTGTCCCGGCAGATACACACGGGAGGCAGGTGTGCGGTCGCTGGAGAGGAAGTATGGGGCCATCTGCCGGGCTGTGGCCGTGAAGGTGGCTGAGGGCCACAAGGCGGCCAAGCCAGGGGCGTCCACCGAGGGCGAGCAGAGCCCCGGCACTGAGGCTGGAGGTGAGGCTGCAAGGCAGCGGGTGTGGCTCTCACTGAGGACTGTTCTTCTTGGGGTGGCGGCTGGGACATTTCGGGGGATATTCGCCCCTCTGTAGGCAGGTGGCAGCTGCACCATTCCTGGTCTAACGTGAGGCTATGGTGGGTGCAGGGGGGCTGGGGGCTGGGGGCTGGTGATCACCGAAGGTATACATGGGGCAGACAGCCAGACAGCCTTGTGACCACATGCCGGCCTCCCAGGCCAGCTGCTACAGCAATGTGGCCTGTGTAACAGGAGCAGTTGCTTTCAAGCTGGCAGCTGGGCTTGGTGGGGGGGTGGGGTGGTGCTGGTTTGTTTATGATGGCGGTATAGCAGTATCCTGGAAGCCGTGGCAAAGTAAGGCCATATGGAACCCCCCGCTCCCCTGTGTGCAGGGAAGAATGGGGTAGGGGCTTAACCCTCTCCCTTGTCTTTGTGTTGTCCTGGCTCTGTTGCCAGGTAACGGTGAAATTATTGGCGCACATTATAATGTGTGAGTCTCAGCTGGCAGGAGGTGGGACTCAGGACCGGCGACAGCTGTTAAATGACAGGCCTGGGGGTGCGTCTCTCTTACTCCTCACTGTTTCGAGGGGTGGGGGGGGTGGGTGGACAGGAAGCGGGGTCTTGGCAGGGACTGATTTGTGGAACTGCGGTTCATAAGAACGTCAACCATTTCAGGAAAACCGCCCTCTTCCTGTTCAGCATTCTTCAAGGTCTTGGGAAACTGTGTAGCGGTTCTACTTGCTGAAGGATGAAACTAATTGTATTAATTTACTTATTCCCATGCTTCCTATCTCCATAGCTTGGTTCTCTGGTTCCCTGCATATTTTCCTCACATTCCTTCCTGTCTGGTCCTCCTGCCTCCACCCTGATCTTCGTCCGTGTTGTCGCAGTGTAATGTGAATGCACTGGTGGTGGCAATGAACCTATAACAGTCTCACATCAGCATCTGCTGACCTTCCTGATGTCTATGCCTGTCCCTCAGTCCCAGATCAAGAGAAGAAGAGCGGAGCTTTGGGGGATCTGGCCCTGCCCCCTGAGATGCCCATTGTGATCGACCGCCAGGCTCTGAAGGACATCCTGGGACCTCCAGTCTTCGAAATGGAGGTGAGATGAGAGTGGTCTACAGAGAGGTCAAAGTTCATGGATTTGTAACTTTGCAGAGCATGGCCGTTGTGTGCTTTTCAGCATATTACCAGCTAGGTTCTCCATGTTCTGCTGGTTGAAGCGTCTGGTAGCAGAGGTCGTGTTCATGGGGCTTCTGCTCTCTCTCTTTTTCTCTCTCAGTTGCTCATTCATATTATTATCCATTATTAGCATAACAGGATTAGCAGAGCTACAAAGCAACTTACAAGCACAGATCCCCATGTGTGCTATGAGTACTTCCCTGAACATTCCTTTCACTGCTAGTGGTGTCGCTCCGCAGCCTTTGCTGTGGGTGGGGGGGGGGTGCATTGGGGTCCAGGAAAGGGCTACACTCACAGCGGGGGTTGGAATGTGTGTCGGCTGAGTTCTGTGGACTTCCTTTTCCCTTAGCGCTGTGATCTGGTCTTAACCTCTTCGGCGCTACTGCTGCTCCGCACTATGTGCTGCTTTTTCTAAACGAACCCCTTCCCTCTGGCGTCAGGTGTCCGAGCGTCTGACGCTCCCTGGGGTGGCCATCGGCCTGGCCTGGACCCCCCTGGGCGGGGAGATAATGTTTGTGGAGGCCAGCCGCATGGAGGGGGACGGCCAGCTCACGCTCACGGGCCAGCTGGGTGATGTCATGAAGGAGTCTGCCCATCTGGCCATCAGCTGGCTGAGGAGCAATGCCAAGACCTACCAACTGACCAATAGTTAGTGGAAACCTGTGTATTCAGAAACCATTAGTTCCAATCTGGTTTACATTACTGTAGACCATAAGAAATGTCTGTAAATATAAATACCATTTTAACAGTACTTACATTAGAACAATCCTTTTTGTTATTCTATACAAGCTTGTTTCATCTTGCTGAAATAGAGGGATTTCATGGTGATTCTTCATATATTTATAATACTGGCAATTTGTCTTCTAGTGGCGGGGGGGGCTGACCCCCTGGAGGGAACAGATGTCCACTTGCACTTCCCCGCTGGTGCGGTCACCAAGGATGGCCCATCAGCTGGGGTCACCATCGTGACGTGTCTGGCTTCACTGTTCAGCGGACGGCTGGTGCGCTCCGACGTGGCCATGACGGGGGAGATCACGCTGAGGGGCCTCGTGCTTCCGGTGAGAGGGCGGCGCGGTGGCACCCTGCCCTGGGCTGCCTTGCAGAGCAATGGACGCATTAACCAGAGATCCAACCGTGTTTCCTGCCCTAGGTGGGTGGGATCAAGGACAAGGTGCTGGCGGCACACAGAGCGGGCATAAGCCGCATCATCCTGCCGAAGCGGAACGAGAAGGACCTGGAGGAGATCCCAGCTCACGTGCGGACCCAGCTGGAGTTCGTGGCAGCCAGCTCACTGGATGAGGTCCTCAACGCTGCCTTCGACGGAGGCTTCTGCGGGTCGCAGCCGTCTCACGTACCACCAGCCCTTGTTAGCAAGCTTTGAGGGCTCTGGTGAAATGTAGCAGCCCTGTTCCTGTTCCTTGGGAGTAGTGTAATATTAAGCCACAACAGCCTGGGCTTTTGAAGGAACCAGGGTAAGTCATGGCATTAAACCGAGTTTTTCTATGAGGTTTATGTCAGTCAGCTGTAAATTGAAGCATTTGAGATGGAGGCAAATTGTTAAAGTAGGTTCAAACCTAATAGTTTGCTGGTCTCTCTGTGAATGAAACACGCAAGCATGGTGTCTCCATTTCCGAATGACTGACGTCCACCACTTGGACAGACGCCTGCTTGCTTGGTGAAAAGCTTGTCTGATTCTGGCTGCTGGGTTACTTATAATTCAGGGACATGGGTTCTCATAGCCTTGATGTACAGCTCAGTATGTGGTTATGTTCCTGTCCTTAAACTGATGAAATCTAACAATGAAAAAATCGGATTGCTTTTCAATCTCACTTTCCTCCTCGAAAAAGGAGAAAATAAGCTTTAATAGAAGGTGTTTCAGTAGCTGAGGAAATTTTAAATTCCTAAATGCTAGATTTGCCATGACTGTGACCTTAACTAATGAAGAGGGGAAGGGAACACTTACCACATGATACATTCTTGACTAAGGAGAAGCAGGAGTTAGCCTGCTTATTGCTGATTAACAGGACAAGAGTTTCGCCTGGCATGCCGATGTTGTTCACACTAATGTTCGGAACTAATAAATTGTATGACATGACTTGTCTATTTCATGCACACGCGTTTGATTTATTTATCCAAAAGGACTTGTGGCCTTGTTAATGCTAGACAACACGAGGTGTAATATACATGCAAAAATATGCAGTGACAACCATGTGAATCACCTTCATAAAAATGATAACTGCCGAAAACACTGTAACCCTACAAGGATGGTCATGTTTCGCGTAAACACTGACTGGTCACCTGGCCGATCACGGATATTTTCCAACTGCTTTTTCAGGTCTGGGTAACCTGCAGCTTTTCCCGGGCATCACAGGGCACAAACACACAATCATATCCTAGGGGCAGTTAGCTAAACCTCTTTGGACTGCCCTTCTAACCTAATATGGCTGCTATGGGGAGAGCATACCAATTCCACACACACAGGGTAGAGGCAGGACTTCCTTAACATGAGAGCTTGTCGAGCAGGAGTGGCGTATCCCGATTGATGGAGAGCCGTTGAGGTTACAGGTTTTTGGTGGACCTTTCAGCCAGCCAATCACAGTGGGTCCCCATGACTGGAGTTGAAAACCACTGCTTTATTATTGGCTGATTGAGAGGTCATCTCAAAAACCCGCCCCCCCAGAGGCTCTCCATGGATCAGGTTTGCCACCCATGTTCTAGAGCAGTGGTAACATGGTGTAGGTCAGGGGTGGCCAGCTGAACAGCTGACCTACAGGTTATCCCAAAAACCTGCATACACACCGGCCCTTTACAATTAAGATTGGCCACCCCTGGTGTAGGTACAACAAGGTGTCTAGGAAGTACGAAAGTTCCCAGGCCAGGAACATAGAATTCAGAATCAGGTTCCTGAACTTGTTCCGTTTTAGATTACAGTGACTTTTCACACGCGATCTGCCGCCACCATTGTGTGTCAGCAAAACTTACAGCAGCAACACCAGCTTACTTCACAAACTCTACTGATGGATAAACTATAGCCAAATAGAACTTATTTTGGGAAAATGTAATTTTTGTGCTTTATAAATCTCATGAAAGTCAGTGCGACTTTGAATATTTTCCAATATCGTTCAGCCCTAGTGGCTGTGGTGCGGCAGGTCACTGTCCACAAATGTTCGTGCCAGCAAACTGGATGCTACTTAGGCATATGTTGATCACAATTTTTTCCCCATAAAAGGTAATGACTGTCCTTCAGAAATGTGCAATAGCTGAAATTCCACTCATTAGTCCCCCGTTTCGTGGTCCTGTAAACTGTAATGGATTCTTTGAGGGCTGGCACAAACAATCGCAGATTACAGGAATGATGCCCCAGAGTTTGACAGTACAACACCCACCCCCCCCCCCAAAGCCTCTTCCTGGTTTATTTTCAGAAGCCGAATGAAATAACGTTCCCCTATTTCAATTCAGTGCAATGCAAACCATTCCATCAGAAATAATAATAAAGTTGCTCATAACCAGTAAATTTGATCATTTTAATAACCATTTTCCAGTATTTAACAAAATAATGAAGACAATTTCTTTAGTGTTCCGTGGAACCGACCTACCACAGAGGGAGGAGAGTGCCAAAAAACTTCAGGAAACCTGAAGATCATCTGAAGACAAAACGATGGCAACACAAAAAAAGGATGAGTTAGTCAAACATCTAGAGAGCAGCTGCGAGGAGGAGCAGTCCTGCGTGTCTGAAACCCGCTTCACCACTTTGTATTCCTGTAACAAAGACAAAACCGAACAACACACGCGTACAATCCAGAAAACACTGAAGATGAACCACAACTGTTTCTTTCCTTTTTAAAATTCATTACAAAAATGACAGCAATATCATCTATGCAATTCTATAAATTGTCCCCTGCATGTTCAGTGGTATCGGCAAACACTTTTGCACTTATTCAGGAGTGCCAGATTAATGATGGTTTCAGCCAAAACCTCATTAATCTGAAGTGGACAAAACAGGAGTAGACTGGGATGCAGGCATACAATATGAAAAGCAGGGTCATTTTGAGATTTCCTCTATGGGAAGAACAAACCCAACATACTTGACCTTAGAACTTACATATATACCAAGACATTTCTCTCACACCCTACAAGTTTAAACTCATATTTAAAATAAACCTTCCCTAACATCCCTGAATACAATCCCAAACATGCAGGCAAGTGGTGTGTTGGTGACTGACTCCAGGTAAACATGATTCTTTCCTGGGTTGGGGACTGAAATTTAATATAATAATTTTTACATAAGTCTAAATCTGAGCTTGAAATTATTGGGGCTTTTTTTGCAAAAGTGTCACATTTTAAAACAACTTTAGAGAACGTTTGGTTAGCAAAACTTATTAAATAACCCAACCGTATTCTTGGGATTACCAACCAGAGAATTCCCTGGGTTTGAGCTGCATTTGGTGGCCTTTCCCCCCATCTCCTTTAACAGCATCCTTTACTGTGTGTATGTGCGAGTATCTGTCTGTATCTGTAGTGGATGACAATCAGCACATAGAGATGGTGACATTGATGCCCAGGTTGCCGTTCTCAGCAAACAGCTGTGCTATGGAGGTGTCGAACACCAGACAGTCACTGTTCATGATGGCGGTGGCGATGCCTTCGTGGATGGAGCGTGGTGTGGCCTCCCAGGTGAGCCGGCGCCGGTGTCCGTTGAGCTCCAGGCGGTAGGCGAAGTTCTCGGCCTGTTTGCGCGTTCCAATGAGCTGCACGATGGCAAAGAACTGCTGGTGGCCGTCATACTTCTCCTGCTTCTCCAGCACCAGCATGAAGTGGAAGCCGAAGCAGGACTGCATCATGACCCAGTCCACGGCGCCCGGCAGGTTGATGTCCGTGGCCAGGAAGACGATGTCCTCACCCTGCAGGGTGGTGATGGACTTATGCTGATGCATCAGGTGAGGCATCACTGCATCCAGCGAGCCCTGCCACTTGCAGGACGCTCCGGGACAGGGGCAGGAATAGGGCCGGAACTCACACAGCTCCTCGTGTTCAGCCTTTTCTGTGTGGGGCAGCGTGACCTCGCAGCCAGATGACGCGTACTTGCAGGGAAACAGCACTGAGTTTGCCACCTTCTCCATGGCCAGGTTACGGATGGAGCCTAAGGGCCCACGACAGGTGGGGCAGCAGGTGAGCTTGGGCCTGCAGTTGCTGCAGACCAGGTGGCCGCTCTGGCACTGGAGAATGGGTGGCAGCACATAGTCAAAGCAGACAGGGCACTCAAAGAGGCTGGCGAGATCACTGTTGGATGCTGTGGTGCCCGACAGCGCTGGCACACGCTGGGAGGGGGCACATTTGGAGGTTCCTGTGGGCAGCGTGGCAGCCGTCTGGCGACTCATTTCTGCATGGTGACAAAGGCAGAGGCATGGGCTGGTTTATTTCACAGATGTCCTATATTTTAATGCCTTATCCAGTTAGAATGCCAGACTGTATAAAAGTCAAGCTGACTTTCTGAATATGGCTTTATGGAAACTGGCAATATAAAATGGCTCTAATATGGGGGCTAAAACTCTAGAAAGTACTCCATTCCAAAAGTGCCAATTGAGTAGCTGAATTGCTAAATCACCTGGTTTGAGACTTACTGCACTGTTGAGCAAAACACAACCAAAGCACCATGCTGACAGTGTGCCTGAAATCAAAGCACATCTACTCCACACTTCTGTTTTCTTCCAGTATACAAAGGAATAACTCTTCACTCTACCTTCCAAAGCAACTCAGTCTTCAGAGGATCTTGGCATATTTCATAGAAAAGGGGACCATGAGTTTGCTCCCTCGCAGCAACCTGCAGTGAGATGTGGCTGCCTACTGAGAGAAGCCTATATTTAGCCATCCTGGCAGGGGAAGAAGTCAGCTGTCCCCTGGCAGTCCTGTGGTTATATATAACCCACAGTGGCCTTCTAGTGACACGTTCCTGTATCTGACAAGATTAGCCAAAGCAAAAAAAGCTAATCTTACTGAATTAACAACCTCTTCTGAAAAATTGTGCTAATAAAGGAGGTTCACATGATGTATAAAACATATGCACTTCACATGTCAACAAAATAAGGGTCTGTAAAGTTCTAATCCTTGGTTGTTTGTTCAACATTGAAGTTTTGAGCAAGTTACCAAGAAACATGAGGATCAGAGACTGCCTTCAATGCAGCTATTTTGACATTGCATTCTGTTTCTGGTTAAATGCTCTGACAACAAGCCTCATGGGAGAACATTTTGTGCAGTACTATGCGTAACACACCAAATTTAACAGCAGGGATTTTCGGCAGATGTAAAAATACTTTGAGAGGTTAGTGTGATGAACAATGTGCTATATACTTGGTGGCAAGGAACAGGTGCATTCAAAATACATCCCTCTACATGGAGAGACAAACAGGAGCAACACAAACACCGAAATCAAGCAGGGTTAAAAGAAAATATACCAAACTTAGGAATGATCCTTCACAGCAGAACATCAAATGGGAGGTAAAGGTAAACCCAGAGAAGAACTGGTTAAGCTGCCTTTACATTTTTGTAAATGGATTCATTTTGTGGATTTTGTACTTTTCTGATGCTTGCATCTGTTTTTGGATGTTAGTCTTGGGTGATTAGTTAGTGCTACAGAAAATCATGACCCTGTTATCTTGGTCAACGACCCCAGTTCCTGATTGCAAATGAACACCACCATCAGTGCAGCTCAGCCAAGTTCCTGCGCATAAAATTGATGAATACAAGACATGAGCAGGAGGTACAGAAAACAATAGCAGTGGGGTCATGGGGTTAATAGAGAAAAGGAGAACAAGAAAAAAAACATTAATGAGGACAGAACACAAAATGCAAGAGATATTAAAAAAACAGTGCTTCAGGAATTCATCAACCAAGGATTTCAAAGTTATATGACTGAAAGTGAGAAGATACCGGTTCACACGAGTGGATACGTACGTTTATACAAATTCCAGTAACCATTCACATTACTGGTATGGTAAGACATTTTTAGTAAAGCAGAGATCAAATCAAGGTGGAATTAGTAATGAAAGTTACCAAAAGCTTCAACGACTGCTATGATTTAAACAACTTGGGTTTTTTAAGTACAA